TACAATATATTATTCAAATATAGCATGATAGGTCCACTTTAAGGTCCACATTGAAATGTGCTCCTCCGTCCATGTTTACATTCCCCTAACGCGCACAGAGACCTATAGGTTTCAGCGTGTGCGAGCCTCTCTGTACAATAGCAGGTCTCTGCCTCGTGGCGACTCGATGATCCCGTCCTGAGAGAAGGTGGAGGGCTTCTGGGTGTAGAAAGCACTGGAGGTGTTGTGGAAGGGAAATTAAAAGGAAATGAGAATATTTGGGAGAACTTTGCTCTTGCCTCGTGTTCTTTCACTCCTCTGTCTTTCTTTCTCTCTCCATTTCTTTCTTCCTTCTTTTTTACTTTCATGGCGGTGTCAGAGTTTGGCTGAACCATAGTGATGGAAAGTATCGAGTTTAATGTTTCTGTAAGAGTGGAAATCTTGCACTGAAAAATAGATGCAAGGAAAGAAACAATGTTTATGTGCAGTGTCTTTGGTGGGGATTTTTTAAATTTTTTAAAATGTATTCTACTAAAATCATACAAACAAAAACGTATAATTCATACACACAAATGAACAAAATTAGTAGAAGCGGGAGGGCTGAAGCATTGCTTATGGGGAGTAGCCCTGCCGTGCATCATCATTAGCATCAATATAATAATGGCATTTATTTCGTCAAAAACGTATAGAAATGAAGGAGTACAAAGAAATAAAGAAAACTGGAAAAAATAAATAAATTTAAAAAAAAGTTAGAGCAAGAAAAAAGTAAATGCATATTTAAGTAATACTGGGAATATCCAATACTTGTTAGCTGGAGTAATCTGCAAATAGAATTGTTTTTACTTTAGTTTTGAATTGTTGATGACTAGTAATACTTGAGAGGTCTGGGTGAAGTCCATTCCACGTTCTAACTCCAATTATGGATAAGCTGTGTGATTTGATGGTTGTTCTACAGGGCTTGCTACACAACCAGTTAGGATGCCTGGTTGGGTATTTCCTGACTGTGGTTTGGAACTGCTTTTGAATGTTAGTAGGCATTTTGTTATGGTAAATGTTGTGCATAATCAGTACTGTTTTAAGCTTAACTATATCAACACATTTGAGTAGATTGAGTTTTTTAAATATGGGAGTTGTGTGTTCATATTTACCAACACCACAGACTATTCGTAATACTTTTTTTTTAGATGTTATTATTTTTTGTAGATTTGTTGAGTACGTGTTTCCCCATATTTCGGAGCAGTAATAAAGGTAAGGGAGAAATAGCCTGTTATAAAGAGTTATGAGTATTTTTTCCTCGAGAATGTTCTTAGTACGATACAAAATACCTATTATTTTTGACAGTTTAGTTTGTACATAATTTATATGGTGCTTCCAGTTGAGTTTTTCATCAACAAGCAGTCCTAAAAATGTACATGCACCAACTTTCTCTCTCAGTATTGCAAATCCGTATAATAGTCATTTCTACTCTTTGACTTTGTATTGAATAACATGTAATTTGTTGTGGCCACATTAAGGGATAATTTATTAACTGCAAACCAGTTACATAGTATTTCTAATTCTGCATTAACAATTTTAACAAGATCACCAAGATTATGATGGGAGCAGAGAATGGTGGTATCATCGGCAAACAAAATGAATTTTAACATGTCTGAGGTGTTGATAATGTCATTAATATAAATCGGGAACCGTTTTGGACCTAAGATTGATCCTTGATCCATGTTATAGGAAGATTGTTTGATTTCGCCTCGTCTATGTCCACATATTGTAGCCTATTTATCAGATAACTCTTCTCTTGACCCATTCTTTGGCTTGACCCCTTATGCCATAATGTTCTAATTTGTGTAGCAGTATGGTTCACAGTATCAAAAGCCTTTTTAAGGTCAATGAATATACCAGCTGTAATCATTTTTGTTGTTGGTCATTTCTTCAACCAGTTCAATTACTGCTGAAGAAGTAGTGATTTTTCTGAAATCCATATTGGCTGGGGCATAGTATATTAAATGTGCTGAGGAATGACTCCAGACGGTTGTTAAAGAGTTTTTCCAGGATTTTTGAGAATTGTGGTTTGTAAAGAAATTGGTCTATAATTATTAAAACTAGATTTATCACCAGATTTGAAAACCGGAATCACCTTCGCGATTTTAATTTAATTGGAAAAAATACCTTTACTAGGGGGGCTACAATGTTTGGTGCAACTTGTTTAACAATATTCATACTAAGTCCTAAATAATCTTTGGACTGTTTACTGTGTTGAGTATTAACAATATCAAGCAGTTCATTTTCTGTAATTGGGTTCAGGAACATACTCTGCTGGTTGCAGTTCTTCAGAAAGTCATCCACTTTAGATGAAGTCGGGCTGATGTCACTCGCCAGGTTGGGGCCACTTTCAGTAAAGAACTCATTAAAGCTATTTGCAACATCCGTTGGGGTTTCTCCTGCGGTTTGGAATTTCTTAAATTCGTTTCTGTTGTCAGTTCTTTTCTTCTTAATTATGCTATTTATTACCTTCCAAGTGGTTTTCATATCTCCTATGGCATTTTCAAATTTTTCAGAGAAGTATCGTTTTTCACAGTTTCTAAGGATTGTAGTCAATTTGTTTTTATACAATTTATAACGACTTTCATCTTCAGTGCTTTTACTTTTCAAAAATGTCCTATAGAGTGCATTTTTCTTACAGCAAGCGTTTTTCAGTCCACGAGTGAACCAGGGTTTTGAGTCATTATTATTCCTGTTGCCAATCTTCATTTTTACATATGGACAACATTCATTCATGTTTTGCTTGAAAATCCTTACAAACTCATTATAGGATTTTTTCACATCTTGAATCTCAAATACTTCTTGCCATTTTTCATTTTTAAGTTAATATTTAATTTATTTAGAGAACTGTCATTTAATGTCCGCTTAGTTATGTCTTTTGTTCTTTGTTATTTACAGGTTATTTTCTGCAAATTGTGAATATTGGCAGGTAATCACTGACATCAGTGATGAGGGCCCCACTATGATGTTCCGTTTCAAGGACGTTAGTGAACATGTTATCAATTAACGTTTCAGTAGTGCTCGTTAACCTGGTTGGTTTGGTTATTAAAGGGAGAAGCCCGAGAGAAGAACACATATCCATGAAGTGTCTCGCCTGTTGGAGCGAGTTGTATTTTAATACATTAACGTTGAAATCTCCACACACATAAAGGTTTTTAATTCTATGAGGTCTGAGCATTTGTTCTACTTGTTCATTAAATTCCTCAAGGTTACTTCCAGGCTTTCTATACATGCATGAGACGAGTATATGTTTGTTCTGTTTTAGCTCAATGTCTACGGTGACGGATTCAAGGAGGTTGTTGCAGCAGAGGGAAAGACTTTCTACCAATCTCGCAGAAAGTGTGTTTTTAACAAACCGTGAAACCCCTCCACCTCTTTGGAGTTTGCGATTCATATGAAAAGCCACATAATCGGGTAAAAAATGGTCAACAGTGTTTGAGTCAGTTTGCCAGGTCTCTGAGATTGCAATGATGTCAAAATATCTATTTATGAGTTGAAGATATAGTTTGATTTTGTCACTATTTGCATTAAGGCTACAGGCATTAAAGTGTATTAATGAAAAGCCATTAATAGCTTTAAGTTCTAAGTTAAAAAGGGTTTCGCTATAGTAGCAGCAGTTGTTGGTAAGATTCCTGAAGAAATTAGAGTCTGGGTCAATGTGAGAGTCGAAACAGTTATGTCTTATTAGATAAGAGATTTAAATCCTTAGTTTACTCCGGTCACTGGGATCACTGGGACTGGGTGATTTGAGTCCATGGCGCATACACGGAGGTAAGTTCATGACAATACAGAGGATTTATTTTAACACACAAGACAAAATACAAAACTGAATATAACGGATTATTATCGAGTGGTCGATGGAACTTTTCTACTCACGCTTAATGAATGAAGTGAGGGAAAATAGCGCATAGATGTAATTGCATTATTTGTCAATACTTTACCAATAGCGGGAGTAATATTCTTATCCTCAGAGTTCATTAAAATATAGATAAGTCCTCACTGTCCTTCACAATGGATACCGAATCATGTCCGTCTCTGTCTGTAGAAGGCGCAGAATCTCCTTTCACTACCTGGGAATATGGTTTTATGATTTTTAATCCGGTCACGATAACATCCTCTTTTCGGGTGTGTTGTTCAAGCTCCTCGATCCTTCTCTCCAGCGTGACAATCTTCTCGTCTTTTTCCTTCATTATCCTCTCCATGCTTCCGATCGTTTCCAGCAGTTTTTTAATTGTTATGCTGTCATCCTTTCGGGTCTTATTTAAGTCACTTATATCCTTGGTAATACTGGATAAAGCGCCCTTAATTTCTAGGAGATCAGCATTCGCAGCATTCGCTCGTGTCGCCATAGTTGCCGTAGTTCTACTTAATGCAACATTTTTATTTTAACAGTACATCACATGTTTTTTAAGCTAAAGCAGTTACTTACAGTTCTATGGAGCCTTTTTGGCTTGTATAACGTCTTTTTTTTTTGCTTTAGCAGGCAGCTAATTGTATTACATTGTGTTTTAAATTCTCTGACAGGCACCAAAAGGCAGACAAAAAATATTAGCAACATGCTAGATCACAATGGAGCAGTTAGCCAGTTAATTTCCTTGGGCAGGCTGGTAGAGACCAAAAAGAGAGAGATATTATCACTTATATGGCAAGACATGACTCAAATTAAGCAACATTAACTTAACGGTAGGGTAGGTAAGAATGGAGAAACCCGCTCGAGTGCGCTAGAATTTGAAAGTACGCAGCCGAAAAAAATCTGCCCCTTCCTTCAGACTTTCTTACAGAGCCCCTCCTCCAACACACACGAACGTGTTTCTGAAGTGAATTACCTACCCCACCTTTTAAGAAGTGAAATGTTCAGTGAAAACTTGATTCCCGAGTCATTCATCGTAGGTTTAAATAAAGATTTTTAATATGAAAGCCACTCTGTGTACTTACTGATCACCTGCATATGCCTAACAGTAGATATGTCTTTTGTTCCTCTGCAGGGTTCCACCTCAGCGGCACGGTGCGGGAGCCTGCCACGGCCTCTGAGCCAGAGCTCGTCTGCAACGTGAGCGTCAGCTTCGACCGCTGCAAGATCACAGCGGTGACGTGCAGCTGCGGCAACAAGGACATCTTCTACTGCACACACGTGGTGGCGCTGGCGCTGTATCGAGTACGGAAGCCCGAGCAGGTCAAACTGCGGCTGCCCATCTCAGAGACTCTTTTCCAGATGAACAGAGATCAGCTACAGAAGTTTGTTCAGTACCTGATCACTGTGCATCACACCGAGGTGCTGCCCACCGCTCAGAAACTGGCTGATGAGATCCTGTCGCAGAACTCCGAGATCAACCAGGTGCATGGTGAGTGGAGAGGCTGGAACAATTGTGGTTATTTATTCATTTGCACTATTTTGCATTGTTGGAGGACTTATGTTTTCATTGACAACTTTTTATTTTAATACCTGAAACAAACCCATTCTGCCGATAATACTTCTCCACTTCTACTTAAGTAACATTTCCAGTGCAGGACTTTTACTTGTAATGGAGTAATCGAAGACCAAATTATTTCTAATTTTATTAAAGGAAAGCATCTCAGTAGTTCCTCAAGTACTTCGAGGTACTTGTTAGTGTTATTCTGTCCTCCATCATGCACCAGTGGAGGAGCAGCTGGAGGCTGATGTCTTCAGAGACGACTCAGAAAACACACAGTGTGTTTAGGGAGAACAAGAAACAAATCAGGTGAAGTTTCACTTGAATATATGTGGGAAAAGTTTCTGAAGATACTTTTGTTGCTGGTTAGGCTGTCACAGAAACAATTAGGAGGTCTGTAGAATATTATATTGTGGAACAAAATATACCTTTTTATGTATTGTGCTATTTCTTTTTATTGTATTCTTTGGGATATTTTGTGTTTTATGGCTCTTTTAGTTACATGTTGATTGGTTATATAAGTAGCGAATGGTACTATTTAGGAATACATTTTGTGGTAGTTTTCCGCTTCTGGAGCACTTTGTGTTACAGTAATATTCCTTATCCCAGTTTGTTTACATTTAAAACACATATCATTGTGTACAGTAAGTTAATGACTGTATACATGAAGATATGATTTATGTCTGAGGGAGATTCGTGGCAGGTACTTGGTGGTTGTATAATGTCTCTTTAGTATCTGCATGTACGCTGTGGAAAGAAGTCAAACCTATTTAGCTTTTTGCATCTCAGGGCTTTAATCCTCCCCAGTGAGGCTTGTTAAGTGTTGTTCGCTGGTTATTGTTGCAGATTTAGCAGAATGAATGGTATTGATCAGTGTTTAAGCTGGCTGCATTAATGCACACAGGGAGCAAGGTGCTGATGCATGCATGTTCACGTCTGCTCCTCCCTGGGAAGACACATTATTATTATTATAATAATAATGTGTCTTCCGAGGACATCAACTCTACATAACTACACTTTCAAGATACTTTTACTGGAATATGTGCATTTTCTACTACTTTTTACTTATAATTCACTTAAGTTTTTGTTGCAGATCCAGAATAAAAAAACGTAATATAATCAACTATTATCATTTATATATATATATATATATATATATATATATATATATAAAGCTTCCGTGCAATATATTTATATTAGCTCCACATTTTCATGCCGCAAAAATAAAGTGATGTCCATATTAATTCATCAATTATTATGATACTGAAAAATGCATAATTAATTCTTATATTTTGATGCCAAGGCTTTTATACTTTTACTGAATTAAGACATTGAATCCAACTAAACAGAGAACGTCTTCACCGAGGTATTGCTACTAATTCTTAGGACTTTCTCCGCCACTGAATGACTGAATCAGTCTGATGACCTCCTGCTCTTGTAATGAGTTCCTGACTGATGTTCTTTGTTGGTTTCAGGAGCTCCGGACCCGACGGCGGGCGCCAGCGTGGACGATGAGAACTGCTGGCACCTGGACGAGGAGCAGGTTCAGGAGCAGGTCAAGCTCTTCCTCTCCCAGGGCGGCTACCACGGCTCGGGGAAGCAGCTCAACTTACTGTTCAGCAAGGTAACACAATCATTCCCAACAAACGTCATCACACCGCATTGTGGCAGCAGCTGAATGGCCATGTTTACCCACAATGCCCCTTGGTCTCTGCAGGTGAGGGAGATGCTGAAGATGAGGGACTCAAACGGAGCGCGCATGTTAACGCTGATCACAGAGCAGTTCATGGGTGACCCCAGACTGGCGCTGTGGAGGCAGCAGGGGACCACCATGACGGACAAGTATAGGCAGCTGTGGGACGAACTAGGTAACACTCACAAACACACAGATGCACACACACTAGGGCTGTCCTGAATACCATTTGTCAGATATTCGGCCTGCGTGTGCGTAGTAATCAGTAGCGAACCGCTTTAACACGTGTATTTCGGTTTATTCACGGCATTCATTTTGTTATTCTACAGTATTGTTGTTTTATAGTTATTTGTTAATGTATATAACCCAATTTGTGTTCTTTGAAATTGGAAAAGATATTGCATTGTGTTTGTTACTTTTGTTGCAGTTGTATATATATCTTAAGTGTAATTTGGCTTGGCTTCCTATTTTGTATGGACATGCTTTTATTTTGAAGGAGAGTTAGCGCTGTTGACAGGAAGTTGTTGTTGCTATGGAAACAACGTGACGGAGATTAACGGAGAAAAAGTCATATCTCAATCAATCAATCAATGTTTATTTATATAGCCCAATATCACAAATGTTACATTTGTCTCAGTGGACTTCACAGTTTGTACAGAATATCAAGTCCATATATATATACATATAAAGACGGAGAAAGTAAAGGATAAAGTTGATGGTTAAGTGTTAGCACCCCCCGAAGAGGCACAAGCTCTTACGTTGATATTGGAGATTTCAATAAATTCAATTTGGCGAAAAAAACGAATATCCGAATAACGAAATTGAAACCCGAATAGTACTCCAACGAACAAATATTCGGATATTCGGGTACAGCCCTAACACACACACACAACCGCACAGAGGTACACACACATCCGCAAAGACACAGCAGCAATCCTGAATACCAGTTATGTGTCAGTACTATTGTAAAGAAATTGTGCTTTTTAAATACATGTTTCTTAAGACATTTTTTAAACAAATTGGGCAATTTATCTATGAGTTGATCAACTCATTTGTGTAAAGAAATAGTCTTTCAGTTCCCTTTTTTTAAGCAAAAATATCTGGATAAGTGTCTCTAATGTGAACATTATGTGCATTTCTCCATTTTAAAATATTTGTAAACCTAATGTGTTTGGGTTTGGACTGTGAAAAGCAACAGAAAACATTTAATCACGTTATTTTGGACTGCAGGAAATTGTTGCTTTGGATTCAATGGAAATGTCAGATTCTTTGGTGTAAATCATCAAACATCCTTTATTTAAAAAGCCCAGAATACATGTGTATGTAAATATAAATACACATCTTCTGTTTTCTGGTGTCCCTGTGCAGAAATACCTTCGCTTTTAGATGCAGGAACATGGTAAAAGCTTAAATGACTTTTCTATGAATGAAAAAAGGGTTAGAATCCCTTGACAATGAGCCTGGCTTTGCTCATGACCAATAGGTTGATGCAACATGTTCAATTAGACCACCTTTATGTTACCATAGTCTTCTTTCACACCTTCTCTCCCTTCTGTTGTTGTTTTTCTTTACCTATTATCCCCCTCACTCACTCACCAACACCCACCCATTATATGTTCTTGCTCTGCATTTCGTCACTCATGTCTGCCATCTTTTTCTCAGCGCTCAGTTTTCCCTTCCCTCGTTGTTGTCATTGAAGCAGCCCTAACAAAGAGACAGAGGATAAAGCCCATCTCCTCCTGTCCCCTCCCCCATCCTCAGCCTCCCTCCCTCTGCATTCACTTCCCCCTTCCCTGTCCTCCTGTTTTTTCTCACTTCACTTCCTTTCTTTTCTTCTCCTGTTTCATTTTGTCATCTGTCATCCCGTATTTATCCTCAACGTATTGTTCCCTCCTTCTCAGTCTTCATGTGTGTTCCTTTTCAGATCTGTCTAGTGTCTTCATGTTTGTAGCCACAAGGCTGCTGAACTTAGCTCACGTTTTCACACTTCTTTTTATTTATTCATAGTTCATTCATGTATTGTATTAGTGGTATTCCAGCGTCTCCAAAATTAGGATTTGCTGCTTTTTTTCTGTTTCATATATTTAATACCTATGAAAGGGTTTTGCAAAAAAAAAATCAAATATTTGAAAACGTCACTATGGAGGTGGAAATAATAACGGCGGTTATATTTGTATTTATATTCAGCACCTGCAATAAATCTACTACTTAAAGTACTTTTAAAAAATGGTTATACCAATGTGTTAACACTGGTGTTTTTCTCTCTTTGTTTCTGTTAATGAGCAGAGAAACCATTTAGTGTCGTCCGTGATAGTCCCAGCTCGCAGTGGGTTTGCCTAACCATTAGTAAACCATGATTAGTGAACATTTTCATTTATCAGAAATTCAAAACAGTTTTTGGTTCTATCATTTTAAAAAGTGAGATTTCTCTTTATATATATATATATTTGTGCTTTGGACTGTTTTCTGAAAAACATATTTAGATGATAATAATAATAACATTAGGTAGAAAATGATGGTTACATGCATAAGCACTGGAAAATGTAACTTTGCATATTTCAGCCCTAAGTTTATGCTTTCAAAATTGCAGTGACAATGACACTTAGTAACTTGGTTTGTATTTCTCGCAACACAAATTGGAATCATATTTTTGACACTATTCATAACCACCACCTCTCCTGCTGCAGGATAAAACAGCAGAGTGTTGTATCTCCCGATGTTAATGTGTGTGTGTGTGTGTGTGTGTCTGTGTGTGTGTGCAGGCGCCCTGTGGATGTGCATCGTGCTGAACCCCCACTATAAGCCCGAGCAGAAGGGCTTCTGGCTGCGGCAGCTTCGCAGGTGGAACAGCGTGGACGTGTGTCCCTTGGAGGACGGTAACCATGGCAGCGAGTTGACCAATCTGACCAACGCTCTGCCCCAGGGCCCCCCCGGCAACCCAGGTGAGATGACACCTGCCTCCCCCCTTTTTTATCTCCCAAATCCTCCCGTACATCACATCTGGAGCTTTTCTTTCTCCTCCCTCCTGCAGCACCTCCTCCCCCTTTTCTGTTTTAACACTGTTGAGGTTTCTTTCTCCCCCCTCCCCCCTCTCTTTTAATCAAGTCTCCTTTCTTCAATCTCTGTGCCTGCGAGCCTTATTACCTTTTTAGTGTGGCTAATAGAATGGGCCTAATAACACATTTCAGGTCCTGCAGCCTTTTCCACCAAATCAAAGAAAACCCAGACACACAAACGTTTCTATCAGTTGGTAATAAAAAGGTTTAAAGGGAAGAGAGACTCTGCTATTACTGCTGCTGATTTGTCTGTACTGGCCATGCATTGTTTTTTTTATCGATATTTAGACAAAAAAGCAGTTGGACAAGAATTAAGAAAACAGTGATATATATTTTTCTGCTACTTTCTTTTCCTCTTACTAAGTAATTATAAGTATTTTTCAAATGTTCAGAACCAAAAAAGGAGTATAATGTTGCAATGGAGTCAACATGGAGCTACGCTGTGGGCAACAACATATTCAATTCTGTGTGAACGTTTTATGGCCCTTTTTGCTTTTATTCTGGCAAATCTGCACTATGAAAAGTAGGCTGATCTACTGTAGCTAGAAACACAAATTGTTTGCAATGTACCCATAGATGTACAGACAATTGTCACAAGAATACTTTAATACTGAAAAATACATATACAATACATGTGATTCTCATGCACGGTCTGGTTAAAAGAAAGTGCCTTTTTTTATGATGTCTAAGCTAATTTATGGACATTTATTCATGATTCCCATCAGATTGAATTATATCATGGGAAAGTTTAAGATATGCTGAATATAGAAATATATTTATATGTAGTTATGACTTCTTAGATGGAGTATTTGACTCAACTTGCAACTGTCTTCTAAAGGTTTAAAAGTACATAAATGGCCTTCATGAGCATGTTTCACAATCTCTGCTGCTGCTGACCTTATTGGGCCAATCAGTGGCACAATTTCCCAGCATGCACCTGTTTCTTTCCCCTCACACAGTATCTTTGCCTCCCCTCTCCTCCCTCGCAGCGTCTGACTTATTTCTCTCCTCTCTCCTCTCAGACTCTCTCACGCGGCCTCACCGGACCGTGTTCACCCGGGCGATCGAGGCGTGCGACCTGCACTGGCAGGACCCCCACCTGCAGCACATTATCACAGAGGACCACTACATCCACTACTGTTACCATGACAACCTCGACAGCTCCCTGTTCGACCCCCGAGGGTGGCCCCTGTGGCACGGTGAGAGCGGGGACACATTATTTACGGGGAATTTAATGAAAAGGAATAAATAAAGGTGGATGAAAGTAGATATGATGTATTTATTGTTGTTGTTCCTCCCTGCAGAGCACGTCCCGACCGCCTGCGCCCGCGTCGACGCTCTGAGGTCACATGGTTTCCCCAAAGAAGCACTCAGGCTCGCCATCGCCATCGTGAACACACTGCGGAGGCAACAGCAGAAACAGATGGACTTCTTCCGCACTCACAAAAAAGGTCAGTTTGTATTACATTTAAATGTTGCTTTTTACTATTTCTAACACTTGCTATTATATCTTTTATTTAGATTTACATTTTCAAACCTGCATAAACCTTTTAAAAAGGAAGTCGCATATATTTTCCACTAAAACATTAAAATTGGGCTCTAAATTTGTATTTATTTTTCCATTTCCTCTTTGTCGATTTTACCAGCAAAATAAATAAGATTAGAATCTTCACCTGGAGCTTTAAATGGCTTTATTCATTCACAAAAGTATCACTAAGATGAAAGAAAAAAGCAAATAAATCATATTCTGCTACGAGCTGAAACACAGGCGTTTTCTGTCTCATCTCCTGACACCATATTGCAGTCTTGAAAGTTCTTACAAACAGCTAAATTCCCTAAAAGACAAGGTGTAAATAAAGAGTTGCATTTCCTCTACAATGGCTTTTAAAAAAAACCCATTATTAATCATTTGAATTATTTTGTACATGGTTGACTGCTGGTGGGAGAAATTAATTCATAATAATACATATTTTAATTGGTTAGCCAAGCCATCCATTTTCTGCCACTCATCTGGGTCCAGGTCATGTTAATTGATTTTAATAATTATATTACAAGCATTAATTGTAGGTCTTATTGTAGCTACTGATGTTCTGTCCTTCTTGGGACATATTTTTGCTAAAACAGGTATTTAATTGCACTCCGTCTTAAATTCCACTTCTTCAATATTGTTGAAACTATAGTGTTACTGATGGTATCACCAAGTAGTATAAATATATTATTAACAGTTGGTGTTCCTTCAGAGCTGCTCCATAAAGGAACCACATCTGTCACTAACCTGGAGGGCTGGGTGGGGCACCCTCTGGACCCCATCGGCACCCTGATCAGCACCCTGATGGAGTCGTGGAGGAACAGCGAGGAAGGGGCCGCCGCACTGCGAGACTTCTCAGGTACATTCAGAGGTACCCACGGCAACAGGCTTACTTATTTAAAAGTACCAATATAACTATTTGAAAACACAAATTTGCAAAGTAGTCAACGTTGTTTAAATGACAGTTTTTCTTTCTTAGAAGGAAGCCCTAACTAGAAACCAGATTAATATTTACACAATGTGATGTGAACTCATTGTGTATTTTACATGTAAAATATAATCTGAGATGTAATGCATTTAAGGTATAATGTAAAAAAGGAGGAAATACTCATTTGAAATACCTCCAAAATGGCCCTTGAGTACAGAACTTGAGGAAATGCACTTCAACACTCTACACAAACACACTGAGTGTGCGTCCAACATTTACATTGCATTGATTGCGTCTTCCTGTCGGAGCTCAAGGCCCGCAGGTTGCAATCAGCAGTGATGACACAGACGTGCTGATTGGCCCGTAGTAATCCTCCAATAACAGCTCATGAATAAGAAATGCAGCAGAAAAAACACTCCAATTAAAATGCATTAATTATGCAGAGAGCTCAGCGAGGAGAAGAATTTCAACAAACTGAAAGGACGGGGATTGTTCTTCACTCATTTGCTTCACTTCTAAATGTGAACCAAGAAAGCCTTTTCACAAGTTGTGAAAGTTCTCAATTGGGACTTCCAGCACTCTGTTTTTTCATATGTGTGTGTGTATTCACTAGGGACTTTTAACCTCCTGGGACGGACTGTGAGGTCTGCCAAGACATCATTAAGCCATTAAAACACATGATGACGGTCCTCGGGAGGATACTCACTCTGAAAAGAACAGATAGATCAATAGATGTATCAATACTCTGCTCGATCTGCCTCCCAAAGGGAACATCTTTCCCCCCTTAACATCCCCGCCTCCCCTCAGGTCCTCTGGGTGCAGGTCGGAGAATGGAGCGTCCGGTTCTGCAGACGCAGCGCTTCCTGGAGGAGGGGGAGTCGCTGGTGTCGCTGGCCGTGGAGACGGCTCTGATCGGCCTGGGGCAGCAGAGGGTGATGCCGGACGGCCTCTACGCTCAGGAGAAGGTCTGTCGCAACGAAGAGCAGCTACTGGCCAAGCTCCAAGAGATCGACCTAGACGACACGTTGGTGAAAATCTTCCGGAAACAAGCCGCTTTCCTGCTAGAGGGTGAGTGGGGGGCTAAGATCGAAGCATTGTAATGTATGTAAAGCATTTTCTGGTTGGGAGGTTTTGCTGCTTCTCTTTGTCTCAGGATATTAATTGAATATATTTGGGTTTGATGAGTTTTACAATCATCCAATTTCAAAACGAAATGATAAAAGTGCAAAAGTATACCGTCACCTCTGCGATGCTGCACTTGTACCGTGTTCACCACCTTAGTTCAGCAGACTGTTCAATTGAAAAGGAGTAGTTTGAAATTACTTAAATATATTTACAATCTTTTATGAATGAATACATCTGGGATGAGAAAAAGTTGAGACACCAGAATGTTCTGACATTTAAATATTTGGCACTTTGATATTTTAACAAACTTAATCGAAATAGAGCTAACAATTGCATTTCCTAAAATGTCGATTGTTTTTAAATGCATCGAGCAGATAAATATTTCACTCCTTGACCCACAACCAGCTGTTGGTGCTCTAATGATCTGTGAAGTGTGTGTGGTGTTGTGTTAACTCTGTGTGCTTTTCTGTGCAGTACGTGTACATTTACACTTTGTACTTCTGTATTCACAGTTGTGTGAGTGTATTGTTTGCTTTGTCACTCTGTTTGCTGACGTTGTGTGAATGAATGCATGTGTGTGTACAGAGGGGTATAATAAGCCGGTGTGAGTTGTGGCTTGTCATGGTTCAGGGCCATTTCTCTCCAACGCCACTAATGATAGAGCCGCTCGACCTCTCACCTTTGGCTTCTTCTGCGTGTGACTGTGGAGGCCCACCGTTATTCAGTTTGTCAACAAATCCCATACAAAGATCAAAACCAACAATGAGCTTATCTTTTATAATTAAAGCATTAATATTTAGATTTATATTCCTCATTTAGAAAAATAAAATACAAGTAGGCAATCGAATAAGTCCTTAGAGAAACACATTGTTGATTTTGGTACTTTTAGCAAAAGAACACACTAAGGCTAGTCTAATCCTTTAAAATATTGAGATCCTTTTAAGATCAAGTAACTGCTCTAATCTATAATTGAGTTATTATCTTAAAGAAAAGCATTCATATGCACCCCAGTAGATAACCTGGTAGAGCAGGTAATCCATCATCCCCCAAGTCTTCCTTTCTTTCTAGGGCTTTTCTACAAATTCTAAGCTAAAGTTATTTATTATTTCAACCCTTAAACTTATGATTATTGCAGTTTCTATTGGAAGTTTCCCTCACATAATATTCCAGGAAGTCCTTGTTTAAAAGACAAAAGTCCCTGTACGATTGTGGCGGTTGACCAAGGGAGTGATGGTCGTCCTGATACACAGCGAGTCATAGCTGTTTTTAAATCAGCGATATCAAACTTGCTGACTGTCAGAGTGTGAAATAATCTTATGACCAAGGTCGCTGTGCAGTCAAATGTGAGCATGCAGCTCTGTGTTTGTACATTGATCTGTCTTCAGGTTGTACAGACTGAACTCATGTATCATGTCCTGTTGTTGTTGTTGTTGTTCCTGCAGCTGGTCCCTACAGTGGTCTGGGGGAAATACTCTACAGAGAAAGCGTCCCCATGCACACTTTTGCCAAGTATCTCTTCACCTGCCTGCTACCTCATGACGTCGAACTGACGTACAACATTGCACTGAGGGCCATGCGGTGAGTACGACACCTTCCTTTTTAAGGGCTGTCTTTACTCAATTTAACATGCTGGTCTCATGCATGAATAACTCTACATGGCTCCCTTCCAAACAGAAGTAAAAAGCATGCTGTTTATGCGGCTATATTGACATTTAAAATGACCAATCACAAGGAGAGTTTCAGGAAAAAGAAAGTCTTTATTAACTTTGTAGTTGCTACGTGTCATCATTTTCAAAATGCTTAGTATTTATCGTACAACCTGAAATCGCAAGATGCTGTTTTACACACCTTGAAAAGTGTTTTGGGAAAGCAAAGTGATTTTAAAAAGGGTGAAATGAGTAAAAAAAAAAATGCATTTACACCTGTACTCTGTGTGGACACAAAATGAGGAGAAGCAGAAATAAAGAGTGAGAGACGGGAAGTTCTAGCCCTGGATTGAACTAACACTTTAATGCATGTTGCTCCTCCTCCTTTAAGTTTGGGTTTGAATGAGTGTGATACAGAAGCTCAGAGGCAAAGAAAAGCTATTGGGGACACTGTTTAATGACAAAACCTCCTTTTGCTGGAATATTCACTAAATAATTCAAGCTGCTGAGTTTTATAACAAATGTGTGAATAATAAATAGATGCTGTTGGTTTTCTTCCTGACCGCCAAGAGTTTTACAAAAATGTCTGACTGCTCTCCCAAATTACAAAAGAGGAAATATTAAAGTGGAGAATCACAGTTCACAGCAGCTTTATGAGTGTTTGAGGGAAACACGAATTGAGATGTTATTTTTAAACTCCTCCTTAGCATAGCTAGAGGCAAAGCTCCACCTGAGGAGAACTATTGATTGGTTCTATAAAAGAAACACCTCCTACCTTCCTCATATATATATATATATTATATATATAATATATATATATATATATATAATATATATATATATATATATATATATATATATATATATATATATATATATATATATATATATACGTTCCTGTGTGTTTCCATCTAATAAAGATCTAATAAAGTGTTGTCCTCTGTGCTCAGGCTGCCGGTGCTGGAGTCCACGGCCCCCTCTGCCGATCTGTCTCGGCCTCACCACATCGTGTCCGTGATGCCCAACCGCCTCCCGCGCTGGTTCACACTCAGCCACATCGAGACCCAGCAGTGTGAACTGGCCTCCACCATGCTAACTGCTGCTAAAGGTACACACACAACCTTAAGAGCCAGTGTTAATGTGGATTTGACTTATTCTTTATTATTCATACTATGTGCCACGCTCAAGTAGTGGCAATCATACAGTTATAAAATAAGCACTTTAAATCATGGGCATTTATATTTGTTTTCTTCCCAGTTGTATTTAATAAGAATTTCTAGATAAACAATATGTTGATGTGTCTTGTACCCGATAACTAGAGAATGAAGTGATGGATGGGTACATTTTTTTTAAACGAATGAAGCTTTATTCAGTTTTTGCAACATTTTTAAATATTTGTTTGCTTTCGTAACTGTCCATTTTGAGTTGACCACAATACAAGTCTAGTTTATAGAGGTTTAGCATCTCAAGACCTCAAATAACTACATATTGTAAATGCCTACAACAGACAAAAAAAAGATTAGAACCTGCGTACATTTAATTAAAGATTTTTCCATCCCTTGGTATGCCTTATTTTATGGAACTGAATTCTGTAGACCTTGAATTAGTTTTTTCGTGGTGATGTGTTGGAGGTTGGTGTGTCACATCCACAGTAAGAGGCTTTCACCTGCAGGAAGTTGAGATTGACTTATGCTTTTGTTTGTTTTCCCAGGTGATGCTCGTAAGCTAGAAACAGTGTTAGAGTCCATCCAGAAGAACATCCACTCCTCGTCCCACATCTTCAAACTGGCCCAGGATGCCTTCAAAATCGCCACGCTCATGGACAGCCTGCCAGACATCACGCTGCTCAAAGTGTCCCTGGAGCTGGGTCTTCAGGTAAAGAAACACACATAATCACACAAAGAAACAAAGTTAACATCACACAGACTTAGAGCTAACCTTGAGTTTCTTACAGGTGATGAGAATGACGCTGTCTACCTTGAACTGGCGGCGGAGGGAGATGGTGCGATGGCTGGTGACCTGTGCAACCGAAGCAGGTGAGGTTTCCCAACGAAACATGTATTCGGTCTAGTAACGGACAGATTCACCACAGTTGTTTTTGAAGCAATCAGTCTTTACATTTCCACCACCCTTGCAGAGGCAGTTACTTCTACTATAAATTACTTTCTAACATAACGCTGTTTGGATGCTATCCAAACAAAAGTCTTACAACTCAGAAGATTAATGTCGTTTGTTCATATTTTCAAACAAGAGAAAAAGCTTTTAGGTAAAAGAGGATGGACTTGGTGACACGCTTGGGTTGGATTGTTGTTCCTCAAACAATAATTTAGTTATGTTGCTGCATGGATTTTGGCCTGGATGGAAGTAATACTCTGAGTAAAAGAAAGTTGTGTGTTATAGTACACATTATAATTGTTGATGCGTTATAACGTAGGCAGCCATGTTGAGCTCAATTTATTCACCAATTGAAAAGTATATACATATATTTGGTGGTTTACGTAACGTTAATTTATAAATATATATATATGGTCTTTTTTGTAAACATGATCTGCAGAATACATGTATTAATGTGTAAAGTAGCATTAATTGGAACTACAAGTACCACAAAAATTAGTCTATGTACAGAACTCGGGTAATTATTAGTCGGATTTCGGTTATGGTTAATAAAACAACCCCTGAGATTCTGAATATCTACCCATGATATGATTGGACATCTTCTGTTCAGTGAAGCGGTTTAGCGAATTAGGGACCTTGACAAGACTTTTAAAGTGGGTTTTGGAGGGCTCTCGGCGGGATGGTAGGAATGACTGGCAGGGCAGTAATTATGGAAGATTGAGGGCTTCTGGCTGATTAAGTGGACCCTGTGTTTGGACTTGAATTCTGGCTGAATTTCTCTGAAGTGGACAGGAAACTGTGTCTGGAGGGAGGGAGGGAGCTCTGTAGGGGGAAAACCTCCTCCCAGATGATTTCTTGTGAATGTGGAGGAGAAACAAGGAGCCCCTGTTTCTGTGAGCGCAGTTTGAATGGACTCATTGAGAACATGCCAGTGGATGATGTAGAGTGGGGCCAAGCCATATAATGTCAGAGAATTAGAAATGGAATATCCAATTACAAGGTAAAAGGTCATTGTGAGACTGGCGACGTATTTATTTTTGTTGGCGTTTTGGAAACCTTTGATTTTTGGTACAAAGTTGGGGTAGCAATACTTCGGATGGATTAGGTTGATGACCATTTAGCTTTTAGTCAACAAATTCCATAAAAATAACCAAAACCAACAGCTTACATTCGCAGTTTTCCAGCTTGTAGACAACAGAAGACATACATTCAAAAAAGACAAAAAAACATCACAATATAATATTTCAAAAATATCATAAAAAAACCGATTTGTTTTTTAAATGAGATTTGTTGACAATAGAAACATCCACAATATCAACAGATATATCCTTCAAGGACTCCCAACAATATATTTCACCAGGGTACTGTCACAAGTACAGGGAAAAAAGTGAAAAAATGTAAAAGGACCTATATATGAAATGTAGGAGGACCTATGATTGGACCCTGGGGAACACCAACATTAACTTTTAACATTTTCCGCCAGGTCTTTATTATTTAACTGACATTTCTTTACCCCTCTGTCTAGGTGTTTTTGCGCTGGACAGCATCATGCAGAGCTGGTTCACCCTCTTCACCCCCACCGAAGCCACCAGCGTTGTGGCGAGCACCGTCATGTCCAACAGCACCATCGTCCGCCTGCATCTGGACAGCCATCAGCAGGAGAACCTCGCCAACTCCGCCCGAACCCTGGCCCTGCAGTGTGCCATGAAGGATCCCCAAAACTGTGCCCTGTCGGCCCTCACACTCTGCGAGAAGGACCACATTGCCTTCGAGACAGCCTATCAGATTGTACTGGACGCAGCCACCACGGGAATGAACTACACACAGCTGTTTACGATAGCGCGCTACATGGAGCACCGCGGCTATCCTATGAGGGCGTACAAACTAGCAACGTTAGCCATGACTCACCTGAACCTCAGCTACAACCAAGACACACACCCGGCCATCAACGACGTGCTCTGGGCTTGTGCGCTCAGCCACTCCTTGGGGAAAAATGAACTGGCATCCGTCATCCCCCTGGTGGTGAAGAGCGTGAAGTGCGCCACCGTTTTGTCAGACATTTTGCGGCGGTGCACGTTAACGACGCCGGGCATTGTCTCGCTGCACAGTCGCAGGAACTCTGGAAAGCTGATGCCTCTCGATAAGGCTCCGCTCAGGCAGCTGCTGGACGCCACGATCGGGGCCTACATCAACACCACGCACTCTCGGCTGACACACATCAGCCCACGCCACTACAGCGAGTTCATCGAGTTCCTCAGTAAAGCCAGAGAAACGTTCCTGATGGCGCACGACGGACACATCCAGTTCACACAGTTCATAGACAACCTGAAACAGATTTACAAGGGCAAGAAGAAACTCATGATGCTCGTTCGAGAGAGATTTGGTTGATCAAACGACCATCATTTTTTTTTTACATCCTTTCTAACTTGAAGTGAAAATCCTCCTAAAAACAACATTCATGCAAATCTTATTCCCAGGATTTGGCACTGCGGGGTCGAATGTGATGATGAACACAATTTCCTGAAGGTGATTGTGATGTGGAAAAGGTCCCATTCAATCCCAAGGAATATTCCTTTTCATTGTGAGTCGTACCAAGCAGGAGCACTGGACATCCCCGGAGAATGGGAATAAGATATAAAAATGTGTTTTAGAGCTCATTTTCTCCTTAAAATGACAAGTTTGCAATTGAAGATAAAAAACACTGTAAACCATAAAAGCAACAGCCGGTATTAATGTGTATAAAACCATTACGTTTGCAGAAGGAGTCAATTCATGGAAGTTTGTGTGTTTCCCTTTATATATGTATGAAAGCGAGAGAGTAAGAGTTTTACACTGAGTATATTATACTGTATTGTCCAGTGGCAAAATGTCCACCTTGCACTCCTACTTTCCTCAGCTAACGTTCAACAGCCTCAAAGAAAAAGACAAATGGCTTTAAACCAAATGGAGAAACTCCATCTGAAGTGACAAGTACCTCTTATGAAAAGGATCCAGCTTTACTGGCTCCTCCTCCGAGTCATCGGCCAACTTATCGGTGAAGAGAAAGAAAAAAATCGAAATCAGAGTTCATTTGACTGGATTCAATTTAGTTTTCATCTTAAGGCTGATTGTTTTGGCTTTGCAGTGTTGTCTCAAACATTCAGTATGCTTATTTTACCGTCACAGAAACACAAAAAACAAGCTGTCTTGTGGAAACTGTCAAACATATATTCTCAGGGATTTCTCTTTGAAAAAAAAAAAAGACTAAAAAAACAGAAAGAGAACAAAAGCATTTTATTGTCCTGTATATATGAAAGTATATGTCTGAATATTGGAAAAAAAATGTATATGTTAACTAATTTATGACAGAATATTCTATGTAAGGCACAATACTTGAAGCTGCAGTACTTTTTTGGTTTTTGAAAACAAACAACAACAAAAACATATCAGAAGGAATTCAAAAATGTTCGCCTTGCATTGCATCAGGGGACAATTTAAAACAGAAGTACATGACAGGCTGCTTTTTGGCTCTGCAGACATGTAATGAGCTGCAGAAACCAAGACAGGAAGTGGACATGCAACGTGCGTGTTCTCCTGAACACAGACGTGTATTGAGTATTGTAGGAGGCCACAGAAAGAGACCACTGTGGAGGCAGAGCAGTGACAACACACAGCTGCGATGTTCAAGTGAAATCTGCCTTCATGTTTTTCTTCTGCAGTGATTCAGTCACAAAAAGCTGTTTTATGTCCGCGCCTCTTCTTCTGACATCCCGACTTTATGCAGGACAGAAAGTTGCTCTTTACTGTCGTTCTTGACTGTTTCACCTCTTTATTTTTCCTCCTCTTTGATTTCATTTTTCTCTAGAATTCCTCAAACGAAAACAGCCTTCTTTCTTGCCTTGTCTTAATGCTTTAAAATAACCAAATGGTAGTTTTAACTACCAACCCTTTCTCATACGCCAATACAACTTTGGTTACAACCTTTTTTTTAGTGTCTATAATTTGTTTTAGCTGAACTGTATTCTGTGTTTTAAAAGCTCCATCTGTTCTTTCAGTGTTGTCTCTTGTTTGTAGCTCCTTTTTGTTTAGAAATATGCTCCCTTTTTATTTATTGCGGTAGGTAAATGATTGTACAACCATGTCACATGCTCATGAAGTTGAAACTAAGATTTGATACACTGATCAATTTATTTATGTAACTAAATCACTGTTTTATAAACTTGTTAATGAATCAACATTATGTTTTGATTAAATACGTTTTTTGAGAGGATGAAGTCTTTGTGTTCTTATTTTATAAGCTATATATAGGTATATGAAAATATCATAAAAAAACAAGTATAATGTGTCAAAATGTCATGTCACATTTATCCGAATAATAACACATAGTTTAGTACTTTGGAAATATCTGAAAAAAACATATGTATGTCAAATACCAGAAAAAAGGACATAGCATAAATATTAGAAAAATATCATAGTATTACATTATCGAAAATAAGTCATAGTACAGTATGTCAAAAAATATCAGAAAAAGTCATAGTATAGTATAGTTGAAAATATATAAAAAAAGGACATAGTATAGGACGTTGAAAATATTTAAATGACCAGAAAAAAAAACAGCATCGTATGTCGCAAAAACAGTCACAGTAGTATGAAGAAATATATCAGAAAAACAACATAGTTATAGTTTAGTAGGTGGAAAAAAAAGTCTGAATAGTTTATCCAAGAAAATCTGAAAAAACATGTCGAAAAAGTCGTATGTGGTAAAATAGTTAAAGAAAATAATGTCGAACAAATAAACAAAATAGTATAATATGTCGGAATAAAGTCATAGTATAGTGTGTCGAAAAATATCTGAATAAAGTCTTAGTATAGTATGTCGAACGTTTCCTAAAAAACAACACAGTATAGTATTTAGAACATTTCCTAAAAAACAACATAAACGTTATGTCGAACATTTCAGGATAAAATTACATAGTGTAGTGTAAAAACAGTTATAGAGTCGAAAATGTCAGAAAAACCACAGTTGCTGATAATACTTTCTATAAAGACTTGAATGCATGCTTTTATTTTGTAGTGGAGTATTTCTAGAGTTACTATATACTTCCAGCACTTGTTATTGATCAAAGTATTTAATCTACAAAGGTTGTATTTATGTATTTGTCGAGCAGCAGGAAGTGGACACAGATGTTTATCTAAGGGTGAACCATCGTAGTGACTTACTGATTAATGCCCGAGAACAGGAAGTCATAATTCCTCTTAGTGCTGCTTTTACTTCCTGCTAAAATCATCTGGGAATTTGAAGTTTACCTTATCCCACTTCCTGTCTATTGTCAGTGGCCTTTTAACGGCAGGAAGCTCTCAGAAAAAGGACGTTTTCTGAGGAAACTAAAAAATAAAACGACCGCTGATGTATGTTAAAACAGTTACAGTAAATGGCATGATTTCTCATAATTTGAAAATGTGTATTCAACCTATATCAATATTAAATCATTATACATATTGTATACTTTACTTAATATGTATTCAATATTACAATTCATTGATCTGATGGTAAAATAACAAGTAAATTACCACATACTAAAATACTGTTTGTCCTAAAAAATGTGGTTGTTTCGGTCTTTATTTGATAAACTTCTTATAGAATGTCTGTCCTTGTGCGTCTGCAACACCAACATTTCAGCTCTGGGGATAACATATTGTATCTTCTTAATAATGTATTATCTGGAGATGCCAGACATAATTTTACTTTAGATGAGGACTTGAATATTTTTTCAGCCACAAAATAAGAATCATTACACACCAGGGGGCTTGTATAAATATGTGGAATTATGCTTGAATATCTGTCATTATTTTAACACTATTACAACACAAACTCCCAGCGCATTGTCCAAATCAATCACACATTTCATTTGTCATGTTGTATCTCTGTGCATTAAACACTCCATGCCATCGCTACTTTGTTTCTACATCAATCCGAACACATCCTATAACCAGACAGAGAGCTTTATTTCTGTAGATAAATGTTATCACACATTTCCTGCGTGGACCGACCTGTTGTTCCTCTCCTGCTGCTGCCGTGTTCCTGAAGCCAGCGAGTCTCTCCGTGATGGGAGCGGCACAGATGGTGTCTCTCATGGTATCAGATGTCAGAGTTTAAATATCTGAGAGTTGATTTTCATGATTTGTTAGTATTGTATTGAAGAATTGTTGTAGGTGAAGTTTTCCTACTTCCATACAACTCTTATTTAGTGGGTGAAGATACAAAGCTCAAATATCAAAGATAAGCACACTTCATAGTTTAATTGTGTTGGTTTATAGAGCCTTTATTGAGTTGTATTTTCTTGCCTTTTAGTGAGAGACATTGTTTACTATGTATATGTATAGTTGCAGTTTTAAGTTGACCCTCCACATTAAAAATCAACTCTGGTGTTATTTTATTTTTATCTTATTGTAATTAAACTCCGCCAAAACAAAAATGATCTTCCAGAATGTTCTATCTTTATTTAAATTAATTTAAATTAATAACATTTAATTTATTTATTCTTCTTTTTCTTTTTGTGTGTGCTTCCCCGTTTGTTATGTTGTCGTTCCTACCATTTTTCATTTATAATAAAATATGAAAAATACTTTAAGAATAGTACAACTATAAAAGTGTAAATCTACTATGTGTACTTTTCCAGCTAGTATTTAATAAGCGTATATATAAATCACACAATGAGTGCATCTTACATTAGAACAAAAGGTAGATGATGTTATTTTCTTCAGCTCTTCAGGAAAAGTTGATTTGAAACCTTCTTTCCAGGATCAACAGTTTTTTCTAAGTATGAAAAAACTACAAACATGGACACTGTCAGATAATTTAATTAAAATAGTGCCATATTTGAGATGTTCTGACCCTGGAGCAGCAGGGCGGTTCATCATGCTGCTCCGGGCTTCTTCTCTGTCTCTGTTTTTTCTGAGGCAGAAAGAGGAGGTTGGAAAAGCACCTTGGTGGAGATTACTCGACTGCACCAATCATCCATCACGCGCAGCTTGTCCTTGGAATACATAATGTAATGATAATCTGATCCTGTATGCAAATGAAGGCTCAGTGGGGTGACTGCAGGCAGGAGACGTCCACCTGCCCCACAACACAAGTCGCCCCAAACTACAGATCTGCAGTCAGATTACAGCCCTTAGTGGCTTTAAAGAGAAATACAAAGCTTAACATGTGTTTTGTTGCAGCCACATTAGATGACCAAGAACAATATTTGCATGTGATTTTGTTTCTTTGTGACGTCAGCAGTATATGTTATGGTTTCAGGAGCTCTTCTTCTAATCCATGTTGGAGCGGTGTTCCCTCAATCCCATTTATTTAATGCACCATGACTGTCACGCCAAATTATGTAATTAGATTGGGAGTCTGGCACTGGTGACACGACACACACATGCAGAAATGTTATGGTGAGATATCATGAGGGAGATGTTTGGAGGCCATTTTGTGTGATTCCCTTCTTCTTCATTATCATCAAAGACACTGTTTTACATATTCCTTTGGAAATGGACGTTGGAATGATCTGCCTGAGGAGATCGGGCTGCAAACTGTCTGCTCTTTAAAATCACTTATTAAAAAGCCCTTTAAGAAGTGCTTTTACGTGATGTTATTTGTGTTTGATTAGTTCTGTTTGTTTTACGCTGTGTTTTATGAGGCTTGTTTACTCTTTTTGCTGTTGTTAATAAGGTTTTACGTTATTTTCATTCTTTGCATTTAAATGTGGTCTGTTTTTATGTAAAGCACTTTGTAACTCTGTTTAAAAGAGTGCTATATAAATACGTTTTTTTATTATTAATACATCTGCACAATACTACCACTTCAACTGCACAGCTCACTTACACTTTTAAATGTAGACACACTGCACATGACTGCACTAACTTCTTATTTTATTTATTTTGTATTTGTAATTAACATATTTTTTTACAATTTAACATAAATAGAGTTCATTTCAGTATTTGACTGTTTGGAAGCTCTTTACCATCTGCTATTTGCTTGATCATAGTGTTGAAGCGTTAACCATCAAAGTTTTGTCATTTCAATAAATTCTGTTTCTAATTAAACATTAGACAAACTTCTGCTAGAGTCTGAACATCCGTTTATCATTTAAATTACCTGTTCAAAAAGCCTTTGTCTCCATCAAAATGCATCATATTTATGACCTTTCGTCGAAGGATGAAATCACTGCCACTCTCTTTTCTCTCGTCGCTCTTTCATCTCAGCCAACCAGACCTGTTGTTGCTTTCATTTGAAAGTCCTGTGGCCCATAAAGTAGAAAAGCGTCATATTCACAGCTTTAAAAAGGGAATCCAAAATGTCACAAGCTGTCCATAAAGTTTTCATAAATGTCACCGCGACACGAAACAGCCAATAGCAATTAGGTGTTTCCTGAAAGGCCACCTCTTCACAATAAAACGCTTTTTTACTGAAGCACAGAAAGAGAGACCCTGGTGAACCAGCAGCTTAACTCAGCTCATTATTCTGCTGGATTTCCATCTCAATTAAATGTGCAATTATGGTAAGATCTTTTCTCTTGTTGTAAGGCCGTTTCTTCACTTGTTTGAAGAGCCGTGTTTCTATGTTTCTCTGCTCTATTTAACTGCAACATCACCTTGCTAAAGTTTGATCGCTATTTTAATTCAAGAAACGGTTTAATTCAAGTCACTCCAGCGGCCGGTGATGACGGACACATCAGAGCCTTGAACACATCCTCCAGTCTCCTAGCAACAGAGCAGCCTGTTGATTGGCATTAACAAGTGGAGCTGATAGTGAAGCTCTTTAGCATTAAGTACCATCTCCTCACTGGGAGCCTTTTACAATGTGAGGCAGGATTTAAAAACATCTGGATGGAATTTTGGTTGAAATATGGTTTTCTTTTCCTTTTAACAAATCAATTTCCTTTTCATATCTAACACAGCACTGTCAATAGTTTATTGTTATTTTTACCAGTCTTATTCTATAATAGCTTGCTTTTATTTTATTCTGTTGGCTTTTTAATGACTATTTTATGTGTATTTCATTGTTTTTAAGATGTAATCAATTTGCACTATGTCTTAATGTTGTTAGCAAAGCACTTTGAATTGCCTTGTTGTTGAATTATTCTATATAAATAAATAAATGCTTTGTTAGCAACCAAGCGTGGTCGAGTAAGTTAAAATAAAAAATAAAAGCTATGTGAGTCAGCTGTTACTTCTCAACAGGGATGGGAACAGTTCAAAGTAGGGCTGAACGATATACCG